GTAAAAAGACAGTATAAGTCATTATAATCCGTAATTATGTCCCCACTGGATGCAACGAATGCCTCGTTTATAATGGGTTTTCATGTTTTTGAATCATCGCTCCGGCCTGACAGGGCATCATCACAGTATGGTAGGGGCGTAACATTTCCGTCACACGCTTGAGGCATTCGGCCAATCACAATGCTGCACTGGATAGCTGGCCAATCACAGCAAGCCTCGCTTTTCAGAACGATGAGCTTTGTAAAAATCAACACGTTTCAGAAAGGCGGGGCATAGAGGAGAAACAATAATGTACAGTATGTGGAAAATAATGTGTTTTTGAACCTTAAACCGCATAAACACATTTCATTACACCAAATACACAAAATAATGTTCTTTTTAGCAGCACCGTATGACACCTTTAAAAGTTTGGTTGATACCAATACAGTTTGTGACTTTTCTAGAAGAGTACACCAATCACTATCATCATAAGAACACTCCAGATCCGATTCCCATTTTTGCTTTGTTGAAAATCTTTGGTATGCTGGAAGATTAATAAGAATTCTGTTTATGGAACCCTTTGTAGAGGCACGTCTGATATCGAGCAGTTTGTCTTCAAATAGGGATTTTTCAGATATATTAGGGAATGACTCCAATGATTGACTTCTAATCCAGTGTCTTATTTAAGTCAAATAATTCAGATAACTGAAGTAAGCTAGCAAATATTCCATTTACATAAAGATCACCAATTGTTTTAATTCCTTTCTTAATCCAGCTTTGTACAGTTTTGTCAACAATGGGACTTGGGATATTAGGATTTCCATCAAGAGGAGTGTTCACAAATAACGATGTGTTTAAGCCTAAGAGTCTATGTGATTCCTGCCATGCATCAAAGGAGAACAGGGTTTTCACAGAAATCACAGAAAGCTTCTTCCTTGTGCCCAGAAAAGGAATAACTGTTACTGGCGTAGTTTTCATTTCATGCTGCTCTATTGAGACCCATCTCACGTCACTGTTCCATGGATGCAGCCAAATCCACAGTGGGCCGAACTGTGATGCTAGATATTAAAGTCTAAAATTTGGGAGATTCAGCCCTCCTTTAGCCTGCGGGGCCTGAAGTGTGGTTAAATTCACTCTTGGGGCTTTCTTATGCCATACAAATGTGGATATAGCTTTGTTAAAATCCTTAAAAAGATATTTACACAAAAACATTTGGTACTAAAAGAGATGAAATATTGTCTTTGTGAATGTGACCGTGTGTTATTAAATCATCTCGGGGGACTGAAGTATGTTCGGTCATCAGAGTTTGGGAGACTTTGTGCCTTTGTTTATCATTGTATGTAAACTCATAAAATGGGACAAACACCTCAGAATATGTTTTGAAATCTTCATTAACACTCCACGACAGATCATTAGGTTTCGGATGTTTTCACACACCATTATGAAACACATGGGCGAATTCCAAACACACACACACACACACACAAAGAAAAAAAGACGGCTAAACACAAAGCTTTTAATGGTCTTAACCACAAATGACTGTTTTAGAATTAAGCAAATGCACTCCTTAAAAAGCTTTTTCTGTCTCAGAAATAATCAAAGACAGATGAGAATGAGGTTTGTGGCAGAAATCAGAGTTGTGTGGAGAGATGAATCTGAGTCTGTGAGAAATATAATAATACCACAGTAAAGCGTGGAGGAAGATGATGTAAGCCGATCACTGTCCAAAGCTCATTAATGCTTCAGACTGTTTGTGATTATTACAGTCTCACATTAAACTCTAACTAACTGAACTAATCATGAGCTGCTTGAAGCCATCAGGATTGAGTGGAATAACACTGACTCTGACTGAAGTTCAGATGTAACGAAGGCTGTCCCGTACCGTATGGAATTATTTCATCTACAGTATTTGTGTAATTCTTGCTAATTTGCTGATTTCTGGTTATTATGGTGAAATATGCACAATTAAAAGGAGAGTGTGTATGGTGTGTGGCCCAGGCTTCACTAGAGGGAGCTCATCTGCTGCTTTACAGTCTTTAGGAAGGATATAATCATACAAATCCAGTCATTTCTTTAATACCTTATCATTTATCACATGGTATAGTATTCTGTGAGTTGTTGATGGCTACTCTTCAAACTCATCATCCAAACCACATTTATTTCAGAATTGCAGAAGTTTGTCCAAGCTTGCCTAAGTGTTCATGCTTCTAGTGATTTTGTTAACATAAGCTCTTTTCTTCTGGTTATCTGTGACTGCTTCTTTTTAGAGAACTTGAAATGCCTTGTTCCTTTCTCTGATTGCTCTGAATATAATGTATAATATGTAATAAATATACAATAATAGATGTTTATAATACATTTATAATTTATAATTATAACGTCATGTCTGTGTGGGATGCCACTGCTTCATTCATAAAACAGCAGCTTGCGTTCAGTTCACAATCACATTACTGACGCAGTAACAGCGAGCCCAGCTTGGGGAAGAATAAGAGGGAAAGGGGAGTCCAAGATGGCGTCCTGCTAACTTAACTTTCGCCGAGCTCTGCTGACAAACTTTTATAACGGCATAAATATCATTGCTTAAATTTTATTTTTTTTGCACAAAATCACCCACATTTATCTTTCTGCTTTCATCGAGATTCGAAATATGAAGCCGACCGCTGACAAAAGGAAAGAGATGTCGCGTGTTTCGCGGCAATCTGACAAGATGGACTTTCACAATTATGGAGCTGTGGAAGAAACTCTGGCTGGGGCCAAAACCCCTCTTCCAGATAGCCCAGCTAAACCTCCATCCAAAAAGGGAAAGGCAGATGATGATAGCTCCTCTGTTGTCTCAACGCTCTCAAATCTGATTAACACTCGCTCTGACACCATAGAAAAAATGGTGAGTGAAAATGCCCTAAAAATCGAAGGATTAAAAAAAACAGTGGACTTCGTATGTGCTGAATTAAACGACATTAAAGGTAAAGTCAGTCATGTTGAGACAAGATTGAACGTTGAAGAGAAGAAGATGGTATTCTGTGCATCTTTTTTATCCTGTAAAGCTTTACTTAAAAAGAATGTTTCCTGATATTGACTCTTTATGTTCTTTTTGTGGTGCTGAAGATGAATCTCCTGGGAATGCTCATATACAAGTATGTTCTGGATGGATTTCTGTATTTTTGTACGCACATTTTCATCACAACGTTTTTCTTTGTTATACAAAGATGTTTTATTTGATTCAATTTTATTCAATTTCTTGATAAATTTGTTTATTTTTCTAGCGAAATTTTTCTTACATAAATGTAAATTTCAGGGTGCTAAGCCTTACTTTTTTATTTTTCATAAGGAACTTAAATCCTATCTGGACACTCTCCTTACATCCAGCAACTCCAAAGCCCTTAAAACTGTCTCATTGTGTCATTTGTACGATATTTTCCTGATTTTGTAACCTGCATTTGTACTCTCAATTGTATGTACCCCTGGCATTGATGGTGTACGTTCTTAGCAATAAAATAAAAAAAAGAAATAAAATAAAAAAAAGATTAAGAGGGAAATCCTTAATCACCCGTTTTGTGAAGTGAACGTGGTGCTGAACGGTCTCCCCGCTCGAGAGATGAAGTGGTTCAGTCCAGGATATGAGAGAGAGAGAGAGAGAGAGAGAGAGAGAGCTCGGAGATGCGGCGAAAGCAGAAGAGGCTGCTGCAGGTCGCGCTGCTGCTGCTGCTGGTGTTGCTGTTGCTGCCGAGCGTCGGCTGGTGGTCCGCGTCTCTGGAGCGAGTGCTGGACAGCTCTGCGGACGCCGCCGGACTCTCGCACCTACAGGTACGACAGCGTTCATACACTCGGAGTTTACAACATCGCAGCAGAAACTCTTAACTCGCTCGTATATGGCAGTGTTACGTGGCTAGAAGAGTCTTTGACTTCTTTAAGTTCCGCCGGAACGTCAGATGAGGAACGCGACGCGACTGGAACGCGTTGTAGTTTTGTCGCGTCGCTTTATCGCGCTGTAGACGGGCTTATCAACGTGCTGGTAAGCTATTGGTTGATCAGTTATTATATGGTTCTTTTGAACAAAGTTCACAGACCGATAACAAATTGACTTTAGACGTATATGATGTGTAATTCTGTCATGTACATTAAAACACTTACACCTACCTACTAGTACAGTATTTTTCACATTCAGATAAAACAAGCATTAAACTTGTTCATATGGTTCTTGGGTTAAATAGAATTATCAATATTAACCTGAACATTAAATATGAAAACTAAAGAAAAGCATAAATCAGCTCTCTCAATGGTTGTTTAGCACTATTGTCTGCTTTAGAGGAATATTGATTATTTTTCAGATAGCATTTTAATCACTTCTTTAGATTTGAGCATAAGACAAATAAAGCCATTGATTTGATTTGGGGGAAAAATAAATAAATAATAAAACCACACAACTAGATGATTTTTTGTTTACTTGATTGTGTTGTAATGGACCTGTCATAAAAAGAATTAGCATTGTGAGGCCATTTCTTTTAGGAAATTTGAATGAATTTTACAATGACAGTTTTTGATTTATGAGTAAAGCAATCATTTACACAAAAATGTGACTTGCAGTATCTTTTTCCTTATTTTTCTGAGTGAATACCTGATTGAGTTAATTGAGTACAGCACGTCAGAAGTGATGTGTAAATATCAGTGTGTCTGTCAGCTGAGGTTGTGTCTCTCTGGCCATAAAGCATCCCATCTCTGTCTCCTCTTCATCAGTAGCTGGATGGGATGATGGTGTGATGGGATATAATGCTTGTTATTTCAGTAAAGTGTAAAACAATCGTCAAGCCGCGGGCGCCCTCTGCTGGCATGTGTTATTATGTGTAATGTAGTTTAGCTCTACAGTTTTGTTCAATAAAATCATATAATTACTTGCGTTTGATACTTTATTTGAACTAATTATTATTGCCTCGTTGCTATTATATATGTATTTTAAGTCATTTTAAATGCTATTCTTCGCTTAGGTCTGTTTTTATTACAACAAAAAAATTTATTATATCAGATCAAAGTGTAAACAACGTAGACAATGTTTCCGCGTGGTGCAGCTGAACAGCATACGTTGCTTACGTTCAGTGCTATTTTGGGAACACTCCCAAAGCTTGCACAGGCCTTTACCACTTTCTGGATCCACATTTCACTCTAACATTAGGCAGTTTTTATTTATATGCGGCTAGTGTTGATGATCGTGTTATTTTTCATACGCATATGCTTACATATAAGATCGCTGTTTCTGCGTCTTCCCCGTCTGTGTTTTTGATCAGCACTTTCCACACTCCTTCAGGAGATGCGTAATAGCGCCCCCTAGCGTATAACAGCGAAAACACAGAAACCTGGAAAATTGCGTGTTTGGCAGGGAAAGAGTTAAGTACATTATAGAAGTGTACTTTTTTTTTTAAACCTGGGAGACATCAGCAGTCCGATCTGTACAGTAGTGTGTACAGTCAAATACGTACGGTGCTGTGAAAGGCTTATAGGCTTATATAGGTGAAGCCCATATGGGTTTGGAATGACATGAGGATTATAAATATAATATATATGTTCCTGTAGTGCTGCTGGTGTTCATAGGGAAGGCTGTGCGTGGTGTTGTTGAAAGGCGGTGTTGTTCAGGCTCTCGGCTGGCTCTGGTCCAGGCCGCTGGTCTGATAGCGCCTCTGTTTCCCGAGCTTCAGTAGGTGCATCCATCCCTCACACACATTCACTGTCAGCGGCGCTTCACCCACACACACTATTACACCTGGAAGAACCGTTTCATGTCACCTCGTGCACACAAACAGCTTTTCCGTTCCAGATCATTCACACTGCTCTGCTTTACAGCCAAGGTTTTGGGACGTGCTTGTTTTTAAAAGAGGTGTGGCTGTGAACAGTGTTTGCATTTAAAAATCAGACACGTAGCTGAAAACTGTGTCCCAATTCACCTACTTACACTACGCCCTGGCCTGAAGTATGTACTCTTTTTGCGAAGAAAACGTAGATCCTTTTGAGTGTGTAGAAGAAGCTTTGGGACAAACTACCAGCTCAGAAAGTCCTGTCACAGAACAAGAGAGGATTCATGACCCTTTACAGCTCCACTGATGAATCATCATACTTCAGCAGAACAGAAATAGCAAATCAGACATAATTTTCAGTCTTGCTAAGCGTTTCATACAGACTCTTTATACAGGTAACATAGTTCTAACAACTGGCCCTTACTACAAAGTAGCATAGTTTCATTCATTCATTCATCCTCGGTTCTGGTGTTTTGTAAAAGGTGGTTTGTTTGGTTCAAGGGTTGTTCTTTCTCTCCGTCCTCTTGTACTTTCTTCACAACTAATGCATTACAAAGACTAGCACACAGTCTTCCTCATAACATCACATGCTTTATGTGTTTTCAGAGAATAAACAGACACAAAGTGCAGAACGACGGCGTTCGGAAGAAGGACTGGCATGACTATGCACTGATGAAGAGTGAAGCGGCACGTTCAGGTGCGTCACGTGATGCATGAAGCGTGATAGAGCTGGACTGCAGATGAGTGTGATGGTGAATCTGTGGTGTGTTGAAGGTGTCGGCGAGCAGGGCAGGCCGTATCCGCTGACCGACTCGGACCGTGTGGACCAGGCCTACAGGGAGAACGGATTCAACATATTCGTCAGCAATCGCATCGCCCTCAACAGATCCCTGCCTGACATCAGACACCCGAAGTGAGCCGCTCTCGTCTTCCGCTTCAATCTAAACCTCTGCAGCACACGTCTGTCACGATTCCTGCAGGCTCCACGCATTACTGTACATCAGCAGCAGATACTCTGCTTGAGTTACTGTGTAGAGCACAACAGTAGTACACTATGACTACAACAGGCCAACAATGTCTTTGCTATATGTGACCCTGGAGCACAAAACCAGTCATTAGGGTAAATTTTTTTAAACTGAGATTTATACATCATCTGAATAAATAATCTTTCCATTGATGTATGGTTTGTTAGGATAGGACAATATTTGGTTTATATTGAAAAACATAGCTGTGATATTTAGGCCTGGAGAAGTCTTGAACATTTCTGTTGTCAGTATACATTTAAGTCATGCTCAGCTCTAAAATATTAAACTGTTGTAAAAGTGGTTTGGTGGGTATCTCTCGAGTCCCAGCCGAGTTTGTCGATGTGGGTTTGCTCTGGTTTCACTGCAGGACAGGTGACACTAAACTGCCCTGTTAGTGTTTGTTAGTCCTGCGATGGACTGCTTCATTTGAACAACTTTAAAGATGATTTTCTCAATATTTAGATTTTTTTTGCTCCCTCAGATTCCAGATTTTCAAATAGTTGTATCTCAGCCAAATATTGTCCTATCCTAACAAACCATACATCAATTGAAAGCTTATTTATTCAGATGATGTATAAATCTCGATTAAAAAAAACTGACCCTTATGACTGGTTTTGTGGTCCAGGGTCACATTTATTTGGAAACCAACATTCTTCTATTTAAGTTTTAATAGTGAACGGTTGCAGGCTGCGGTCGCTGTGAGACGTCTGATGTGTGTCATGTTTGACTTGTCAACTACGATTCCGGTTCCACATCAAAATATATTTACACAGTAGTGAACAAACCAGTTTAACCAGACAGTGAGTGAAGGGTTGGGAAAAGAGAGCTGGCAGCATTTTTGATGACCAGGGCCCTCGTTCTTCGTGCCTCACCTCCATAGACGTTGAGTCCTCCCCAATCACTACAAATAGCTAAAATGATCCAAAAAATGTCATATTCTTGATGCTTTTGAAGTTTTAGGCTGGCCTGCGTCAGTCTAACAGCGCTCGTCAATGTGAGAATGAATGTGACTGATGTTTTTAATTAGACTGTCGGCACACGTGATCACAGTGTGCTATAGATTTAATGCAGAGGTTTGTATCTTTTATATCAGTAACTTAAGTGTGGCAATAATTGAAAATAGTTCCAAAGGAAAGCATAGCATCAAGCTGTGACTGTATGTCCGTCATGAGTGTGTGTGTCACCCTGAATGCAGCTGTGTTTGTGTGTCGCAGCTGTAAGACGAAGCTGTACACAGAAGATCTTCCCAACACCAGCATCATCATCCCCTTCCATAACGAGGGCTGGTCGTCTCTGCTGCGCACCGTTCACAGCATCCTCAACCGCTCGCCGCCGCAGCTCATCGCCGAGATCATCCTCGTGGACGACTTCAGCGACAAAGGTACGAGTCGCTCCGTGTCCGTCAGCACTTCATTCAGTGAGAGTGTCTGAACAGCGCATGTGCATGAGGATCATCATCAGAAACATGATGTTTCCGGGCTGTATGTCAGTCTTAACCTGTCATCTCGTGTAAGTCAGCCAGCGTATTTGATTTGTGTGACAGATTGTGAGCTGCTGTTTCTGGGATGATCCTGGTTTGTCCCTGCGTTTGTACTGCGTCACATGTTTGCATAAGCGTCAGATTATGACAGCCATAATCCTCTCTCCGTGAGTCCGCTTATGAGGGCTGTCTCTTGTTTTAATCAAGCATGAAAACACATTTCAGTATTTGGGTTTCGTCTCACTCGTCCACACTATATTCGTGTCTGGATCTGATGCGGGGTCCCATCACTGAAGTCAGGACCGGCCCGGACAAACACTGAAACACTGGCACCACAAATACTGCAGAAAAACGACATTTATTTATAACATAGAAATATGGACTGAATCATCTGTGAAGATAGCACATTTGATGAATAACATGTTTGTATATACAGTATTAAGGCTGAGTATGTCAGCTGTGACTCAAAGACATCACAATGCATCACAATATATCGCTGTGCATCACAATATATCACTGTGCATCACAATATATCACTATGCATCACAATATATCACAATGTATCACTATGCATCACAATATATCACAATGTATCACAATGCATCACAATATATCACAATGCATCACACACTGAAGTCAGGACCGGCCCGGACAAACACTGAAACACTGGCACCACAAATACTGCAGAAAAACGACATTTATTTATAACATAGAAATATGGACTGAATCATCTGTGAAGATAGCACATTTGATGAATAACATGTTTGTATATACAGTATTAAGGCTGAGTTATATACAGTATTAAGGCTGAGTATGTCAGCTGTGACTCAAAGACATCACAATGCATCACAATATATCACTGTGCATCACAATATATCACTATGCATCACAATATATCACAATGCATCACAATATATCACAATGCATCACAATATATCACATTCACAATGCATCACAATATATCACAATACATCACATTATATCTCAATGCATCACAATATATCACAATACATCACATTATATATCTCAATGCATCACAATATATCACTATGCATCATAATATATCACAATATACCACAATGTACACAATATATCACAATATATCACTATGCATTACAATATATCACAATGCATCACAATATATCACAATACATCACATTATATCTCAATGCATCACAATACTGTATATCACTATGCATCACAATATATCACAATATATCACAATGTATCACAATATATCACAATGCATCACAATATATCAATGCATCACAATATATCACTATGCATCATAATATATCACAATATATCACTATGCATTACAATATATCACAATATATCACAATGCATCACAATATATTACAGTACATCACAATATATCTCAATGCATCACAATACTGTATATCACTATGCATCACAATATATCACAATGCATCACAATATATCACAATATATCACGGTGCATCACAATATATCACAGTGCATCACAATATATGAGAGTATATCACAATGCATCACAATATATCACTATGCATCACAATATATCACTATGCATCACAATATATCACAGTGCATCACAATATATCACAATATATCACAGTGCATCACAATATATCACAATATATCACAGTGCATCACAATATATCACAGTATATCACAATGCATCACAATATATCACAAATCACTGACATCCAAGCCACTTTTCGGGATTTCTCGAAAAATTGTGCAAAATATTGTGCTGTATCTGACTGAAATAAGTCATATAAGAATCATGAAAGAGACTAACTCAATCACAGCTTATGTTTTATGATTGAATCACATCTGAAGTGTTTTCATCGGTGGATTCAACATTGAGAAAGGAAGAGGGTTCATTTTAAGCTCTATCGACAGTCTTCAAAGGTTACACAATGGTTTTATTTGAGGAACAGAATTTGTGCCACACATTTCAGTTTGCTGCATCTGGATGGTTCACGTGAGAAGCGACAGTATCCGGCGCTGTAATGTCACACAGGAATGAAGCTGCTGAAGAATAAAAGCCAACAATTGTGTGATTTCCCTGTTTAATACTGTAAAGCTGCTTTGACACATTCTGCATTGGAAAAAGCGCTGTATAAATAATGGTGACTTGACTTGACTCTGTGTCCTCTAGAGCATCTGAAGGCTCCTCTGGAGGAGTACATGGTGCAGCTGCCAAAGGTTCGAATCCTGCGCACTAAGAAGCGTGAGGGTCTGATCCGGACCAGACTGCTGGGCGCCGCGGCTGCGAAGGGTCAGGTCATCACGTTCCTGGACTCACACTGCGAGGCCAACGTCAACTGGCTGCCGCCGTTACTGGGTGAGAGCATTAACATCAACACTGTTATTACCGTTTAGATGCTCTGAAGCAGTCTGCACTGCATAAAGCGCTGTAGAAATGAAGGAGACCTGACTTGATTGTTCAGCTCCTGAAGCTGTTATTTGATGGCAGTGAATGATTGGTTTTCAGATCGCATCGCAGAGAACCGGAAAACGATCGTGTGTCCGATGATCGATGTGATCGACCACGATAACTTCGGCTACGAGACGCAGGCCGGTGATGCGATGCGAGGGGCTTTTGACTGGGAGATGTACTACAAACGCATCCCTATCCCAGCTCAGCTGCAGAAACCAGACCCCAGCGAGCCGTTTGAGTGAGTGAGTGAGTGAGTGAGTGAGTGTGTGTGTGTGTGTGTGAGGGGCGT